TTAACTACTTCATCCGTCATGTTACTTGAAGTGGGTTAGAAGAAACTAGCTTGAATTGTTGTAGTCTAACAATGGGACCAATTATGGCTGTAGGCCAAGGTAAATTAATTGAAAAGGGCCAAAAGAACAAAAAATGAATAAGAGATGTAAATTCAGGTGCAATATCCCAAAGCTTAGACTGTGATTGTGTAACTTGTTGATTCCTGGATGGGAAAACAGCACAATGTGAATCTGTGTTGATTCCTTGGTGGAAAACAGTAATCTTCAAACTGTAGAAATTGATAAATACCCCCGCCGCAGCAAACCTGCAGACTAAGCGAATTTCCATTTGCCTGATTTGATTTTCAATTAAATCCATTGAAATAACATTCGGTTTAACGAGTACCTAGGTTTTTTTCATTTTTTTGAAATTTTGATTTTTGGGGATTTTTTCATAAAAACCCATAAAAAACCGGAAAAATCGGATTTTCTCAAAAATGGCCCGAACGATTTTGATAAAAATTTAGTATGTTGTAGCCCTTTAAATTCTGAATAAAATGGTACAAATCCCATATCTGTAAAAATTACGGTTCAAAAGTTATGGTCAAATATGTTATTTTCTTATAAAACCCCATAAAATAACAAAAAATAGGATTTTAGAAAAAAATACGGTTTTGATTTAACATAGTATGTTATAGTCCTTACAATTTTTATATTTTTTTTTAATTTTTTTTGAAATTTTTATTTTTAATAAGGATTTTCCCATAAAACCCCATAAAAAACGGAAAAATAGGATTTTCCCAAAAATGGCCCGTACGATTTTGATAAAAATTTAGTATGTCATAGTCCTTTATATTCTGAACAAAATGGTACAAATCCCATTTCTGTAAAAATTACGGTTCAAAAGTTATTGTAAATTAAGTCATTTTCCCATAAAACCCCCATTAAATAACAGAAAAATCAGATTTTCCCAAAAATGGCCCGAACAATTTTGATCAAAATTTAGCATGTTATATTTCTTTAAATTCTGAACAAAATTGTACAAATCCCATTTCTGTAAAAATTACGGTTCAAAAGTTATTGTAAATTATGTCATTTTCCCATAAAACCCCCATTAAATAACAGAAAAAACGGATTTTCCCAAAAATGGCCTGAACGATTTTGATAAAAATTTAACATGTTATATTCCTTTAAGTTCTGAACAAAATTGTACAAATCCTATTTCCGTATATTTATTCTCACCGCTTACACATGATAAAGGTTGTTGACAAACTTATGGGAGAAAGTATGTGTCAGAATGCTGATACCGTTTATTTAAATGTTTATCAAACATCTTAATTTTTATCTTTGAATCTATTTACAATGGAGTTTTTACAACTGATCCTCCGACATTTTCTATTATTCTTGTTCAACATTTAATGTAGAACAAGAAAATAACATTATCTACTCAAATCCATATACAGGTAATTGAGAAATCGCTGTACTTAGTTTAAAAACATGGTTATTTTTGTTTTTGGGAAGCTAATTTTTGATATGCATCATCATACTTCATTTACTTTGTACTTACACCAAAAATTGTTTGTCACACTGAGTACCAATCACCCTGTATAGAATTGAAAACCGAAACAATATGAATTAAAAAACTATATCTGTACATTTTAAGCAGAGTCAATATTGTCATAGTCCAGTAATCAATATTTCGTAAATACAAAAATACCGTTAGCTGCTTCCAAACAAAACAGCTGTTACAACACCACTTGCGACGTTGCTACTTCGAAGGCCACGGCCTGGACTTAAAAGGCGGCCGTGCACGTACAATCATAGCCTTCTAGTATATAGTTGTATATAGTATACAAGGCCGCGGTGAGCGAGAACTGGCAACGTCGCGTGTGTATTTATTTATCTATTTACGGTTACACCATTTTTCAGAGTTGACATGCTGATATTAATACAAATACAAAAACAATATTGAAAGATTGAAAGTTAATTAACAAAAAGTAATAACGAATGCAAGTGAAATGTTGAACAATATGAAAGGAGCACAACTACTTGCCTAATTAAATTAGCATCCCTTCTGCCTTTTCTCATGCTCTTTTACTTTTTTTTATTGTTATGTTTTTTTATTGTGTCTTGGTGCGCGATCGCCTTACCATTACAATGAATGGAAGAGTCGCGTACCGACTTGCTTATTTGCGCTTCTACTATCTTAAATAATTAGTAATGACAACATGCCATATCTTGTTACTACAACATTGATATTTTTATTTACAAACATAAATTGGTAAAGTAGTTAGGGCCTACTTTGTATCAATTGCATTTTTACATTGAAACAATAACAATGTTTTTGGTTAGAACACTATATAAATTGCCCTATGCTGCAATTATTTATCTTACAAACTATTTCGTGCTGATACTTCTATTTTATTACATTCTAGTCATGTTGATAAAATATTTTACAATTACATTTCTGAATCACACAGTAAAGGTAAATTTTGATGCATCATTGCTGAAAGTTATGTTTTCGTTTTGCTAACTCACTCTCAGAGTATTCCAAAGACCTCAAATGATTCAATCCATGTTCAAATGTTATATGAGGTAAACATATAACCGAATCAATAAAAGTACTTAAATTAAAATACATATTATTATCAACTTGCATAAACTACTTCAGATTATATATCATTTCACAATCATATTTGCAAAACCTACTGTGGTGTTTTAACCAGTCCCCACTAACAAAAGCATAAAATGAAAGGTCCTAAAGAGGTTAACTTTGAGTCATAACAAGAGTAGTTTAAAAGTTGTAACCGTGATACTGTAAATAATTTTATATCGTTTGATATTATACAATCGTTTTACAATTTTGTCAATCCATCTGTTACTTTAAATATAAAAGTATTTTTACTATTCAATGTTTTGTTTTGTAGAACCTTTAGTATTCTCAACTGTATTAATAACAAACCTATTTCAACATACAATATCAATTTTAGGAAATTCCTAGATTGGTTGGAAATATATTGGCATACGTGAAGTTTGTCTAATGTTTTTTTTTAAAAACACATTGTGTTATATTTTACTTGAATATGAATAATGAATATTGTATATGTTTCTAATTCTTGAAATTCTCAGTTAACTAGGAGGCGGAGCAAACATTTTGTTCTCAAATAAACTTGAAAATTCTAAACAATCTTTTTTTCTGTTGGTTTACTTAAAGTCTATAATGTTCTACTATGAATGCAAAACTATAATATAGTATAAAAATCCAGTCTCACCCTCAAACACTATGATATAATGTATCAACACATTATTTTGAATTTGTCAACAAACTGATTCTTGAATTTCAGAAATAGTAGTTGCAAGAGTACGCAAAACTGCAGAGAGACCTTGAAAATGCTTGTGGAATGATATAGTTTCAAATTATAAAAGAAAACCTTCACAAAATTGTATTAACAGGACCAGAGGACCTTTATGCGCATGGTGTTTCATTTGTAGGAGGCAAAATATTCAAATCATATTAATTTTTGATTTCCAATAAATTTTGAGTTTCCTTAAAAACAATTATATAAAACTGTCTTCAAACGTCGATAAAACTAATTTTATAAAAAAATAGTAGATTCTTCTGTTGCTCTGTGTGCGACTATTTTGGCCACATAATGAAGTCCAAACTTATATCTTTAGTTTGAACGTCATCCTCCCGACATTTTATTCTGTTTATTGACTTTAAATCCAAATCTTTAAATCCAATCCAAATCTTTAAATCCAATCCAAATCTTTAAATCCAATCCAAATCTTTAAGTCTAATCTTTAAATGATTCGATAGAATTATAATACCGGTTTGGTAAAATATGTAAACAAATCGTTAAACTAATGAGCATAAAGTGAGAAAGACGAAGTGATAGGCATGGGCAACGAGCTAGGGCATAGGCACGTGAAGACAGATTAAACTAGAACAGAGAACTGGCAACAGTGCACGCGAGAAGTAGGGGGGACAAACACACTGCTCAAGCGCTACAACGCATTAGTGGCATCCTGTCCACACACTGTTGATATATACCGAATTGCGGCATGGTGCCACCATTAAAAACTAGAGTGTTTGATGTTAAAATGGAGTGTTCATAGAAATATCGGTGTACACAAGGTTTTGGTACCTTCCTTCATCCACTGGTGGCCGCAGTTTGAAAGATGCCACAATTTGGTGTTTGCGAGTATTTGGTAAAGACCCATATGTGTGGATGTGTACAGAGCTACAGACCACACCGCTAAATTTGAAATTTTAGCTTCATTTTTTTGAAATTTTAATTTTTGATGGTGATTTTCCATAAACACTTATAAAATAACGGAAAAATTAATTTCTTTCAAAAATGGCCTGAACGATTTTGATAAAAATTTAGTATGTTGTAGCTCTTTAAATTCTGAACAAATGGTGAACTCCCATTCCTGTAAAAATTGCGGTTCAAATCCTGTTTCTTATGTTATTTTACCCATTTAAAAAACCCATAAAATAAGAGAATATTGTATTAAAAAAAAGCTTTTGATTGAAATTACGTGACTGTCATTATAGTTCTTAACAACATAGTGCAATCCCCCCCCCATTGCTGTAAAAAAACCGGTCCTGATTGAAATTTGTCTGTTGTGGTGGTTGTAACAAATAATAAACAAAATAGTGCAACCCCCTAGTTCCAGTAAAATTTACGGTTCAAAAGTTAATGCAACATTTGTGATTTTACCTATTAAATTCATAGTTACTCTCAGCGCTCACCCATGAAAAAGGTTGTTGACAAGCTAATGGGAGAAAGCATGTGTCAGATTGCTGTTACCGTTTATTTATAATAGCTCTGGTAATAAATAATCCAGCCGCTTGTGAAATTAGGTCTTTAATTCATTTTCTGAATGCTAGAAAAGTTAAATGCACAGAGAGCTCAAAATAGTGTCATCGGCATTATTGGGGAGAAAAATGGGAACAGAATTTATGAATTTTTTTATGATACAAACTCATTATGGTATTTGTTGTGTTTATTTAGACATAAGCGGCACAGAAAGCATCCTCAGACACCACCTAGACATGTCAAGTACAGCAGGCGTGCGTGGGATGGTCTAATACGTCAGTGGCGCCAACAGCTTCACTTCTGGGACCCTCCGTCCCAGGGCGGTGGCAACATTGATGAGTAAGTATCACAAGCTTAACAAGTTATTCCGCCTGACATTATTTGTGGGAAGTAATTTTTAAATACAGTGGAGTCCCGATAATCCAAACTTGGGTAATCCAAAAGTACACTTAATCTGAAACTGAAAAAGACATTTTTAGAATTTATTTTTGTAAGAAAGGATATTTTAAAGGGAAAAAATATAGAGCAGTGAATAAGGGTATTACAGCATCTACTAAAAATTACACAGTACTTTTCAAATACAGTATAGGCAGAGTTGTGAACAAATGTATGTTGTGACAGGTCAGCAAATATATCTGAAATGTATTTGGTTGCATCAGCCTCATACACGACGATAGCCGTTCGCCCGTCATGGCTAATTGCCGTATGCTGTGACGCTTCTTAAAACTATAAAGCCAGCTTGGGCTAGCAGAAAAAGTTGTATGCTGTTCAATAATTAATTAAACTGTAGAGTTTTTTCTTTGATCAAGGGTCCACTAATCGGGGTACCTTTTTCTGTCTCTTGAGAAAACCAAACAAACAAAGCACTGTCGAGGTTCTCCAGTGGTGTGGTTTTCATATGATGGGATTTAGTACACTTACTTGTTGAAGCAATACAAAATTGTTTTATTTATAACCTGCTTTTCTTCCAGTCTGTGATTGTCGTACTCCCCTCTCCAAACTCAACAGCCAATTTTGACACACTTTCACCATTGTCTAATCGTTTTAACACTTAAGTTTGTCTCGTAATGTAACCAAAGTATGTTTCCGTTTTGAAGCCATTTCACCACATTTACAACCTCAAAATCTAACGTTACATAGTTATAAACGTTTCTGAACACCAGGTTTGTTTACGTTATCAATTATTTTCTGAACTCAGCCAATTTAGAATCGCCAACCTAAAAAACAAAATTTCAGTACACTAAAACCAATAGCAGATTATCGTAAAAACAACAAGTGACCCAGTACGTGCTGTTTTATCGGGGAAAGTTGAAACTACAGCTCCGTCCCATGACGAAATTAATGCAGCTTATCGTAAAAACAACAAGTGACCCAGTACGTGCTGTCACCTATTGGGAAAAGCCTAATGTGTGCTAGATTCAATAATAATAATAATAAGATTCAATAAGATTAATTGCAGCCATGAAACATAACATTTTGTAATAGGCATTGTTACAATAATACTTAAAAATAGATCATACATCAATTATAAATGTCAATACATACAATATCCTATTAAGAATCTAAACATGATATGTCACTATTTAAAAATTCTTCCTGCGTGTAGAATGCTTTTGATTTTAAAAACTCAGTAATTTTTCTTTTAAATTGGTTTAAAGGTAGTTCACGAAAACAAGTGGGTAGCTTGTTGAAGAAAATAGGCTATGTTGTATGTAAAAATGGCTATTTAAAGTTTTTGAAAGTCTGATTTGAGGTGTGACCAGGTTGTTTTTGTGCCTCGTGTTGTATGGATGAGAATAACTAGAAAATTTTAAGGGGTTGTTTTTTATATGAATTAAATTACAAAGAATGTACATAGATGGCAATGTAAGCAAATTTAAATTGGAAAAGTGATCCCTACAGGATTCATGATCTTGCAATCCTAGCATGGCTCTAAGAGCTTTCTTTTGCCAAACAAATGCTTTCTGAGCTAAGTGTGAACCACCCCAGAGACGCAAACCATAAAGCAGCTGTGAGTGAAAAAAACCGTAGTAAGTCATTTTTAGAGTGTTAAAACTCACACATGATCTAAGTTTTCTCAAGAGACAGGTTTTTCTAGCCAATCTTTTACAAAGTTGTGTAATGTGGTTATCCCAGCTTAGTCTGTTGTCAAGATGGATGCCTAAGAGTTTGACTGTTTTATAAGCATCAGTGGGTTGATCTTTTTTTAGTGAAAAGTAGATGTATTCTGTTTTTTCCTCATAAATGAAGCTAGCCTCATAAATAGCCAGCTTTATTGAAATGTGATACTGTATTAATTGATTTTCTGAGCGTCTCGCTCCGAGACGCCGGCATTTCTCGCGCAACCTCGGCCGTCTCGCTACAAGACACTCGGCACTTCAGCTACGACAATGGTGCATCTCTGAGCGAGACGCAGCAGCACTCAAAGGGTTAAAACGTGTACAACCCCTTCTTAGCCGCTCGGTACTTTTCTGACGCTCAGCAAACCCATTAAGGCATTGATAAATTATGAGTCCCAATAAAAAAAACACTAGTGGGTCGTGCTCCATATTTTGGGAACCGCTGGGTACAGAGGTATCCATCTTGACAAATAATTTATTTAATTCTTAGTTTGTTTAAATATTACAATAAGTTGTTTTTACATTTTGAGCTTTTTAGGGACTTGTGTCCCTACATGCAACTTGTTTTAATTTTGAAACGATTAAATTTGTTAATTTTGTTTTAATTTTGCCTTGTTTTGGTCAAACTTAAAAAATTATGTGAATCACTTAAGTTCATAAAAATCTGTAATCATCCCTGAGCCATTAAAATGTGAATCTAACTTGCATTATCTGATCTGCTTAAAATTTATATGACACATGTTTGTTGTGATGCTCCAGCCTGGACCTGAGCTCCATGTCGGAGGCCTCCAGTGACACAGGCTCAACACCAGCCACTCCCCGGGACCGGCATAGAACTGGCCGAACATCACGTGTTACTCGTTCCAACCGCTCCTCCGAGTGTTCAAGTCTAGCAGAGGACTCGGGATGTTCACCACTCAAAGACAACTAATTTACTGTTTTACTAAAGTATAATTTGTGTAATTTTATCTTTCTGAAACATTGTGTGAAAGACTTTTTACTGTTTAACATAGCCGTTTTTAGAATAATTATATTGCTTACTATGACTTGGTTGCTTTAAACTTAAATAAGGTTTTATTTAAACCCAGCAATATTTATAAAAGATCGAGTTTCTCATTAGTTTCTGAATGTTAGTGTTGTATGTGACAGGTAAAAGTTAAAATTCGTTTTAAGATGTAAACGAAAATGTTATCACTATACCATTCCTCAGTGCTAGGGTTTTTGTGTCTTAACAGATAGGCTACACATTGTATTTTGTAATAAATAAAAAAAAAACACAAAAGGGTTTAAAGCCGACTCTATACATATCCTACGGGATTTTTATTTAAAAAAGTTGATGCCTCATATCACTATGTTTTATTGTTTATTGAAAGAAAAAAAATCTTTTCAAAATAATTATTTTTATTACTCACTGGGTTAAACTGTATATGCGTACTGTATCATATCAAACACATGAGTTTAAGTGATGGCTCATCTAAAAATATTCTATAATAGATACAAATGGAAGTACAATTACTAAAGGTGAAATTGCCTTTTTCAGGAGTTGTTCTGGATTTGTTAGAACATTATGATGTAATTAAAGTAAAAAAACACTGTATTAGCAAATACAAATATCCATAGTTTGTTTTGAAAACTTAAAAGTAATTTCTTATGAGTTTTAATCTCACCTTTTCATTGTATAACTACACCATTGCTTGCTCTCATTATTTACTGCACATATTTTAAATTGGCCTAATATTTTGTATAATTAAAGTTCTTAACAAAAACATATGAATAGAATCTATTTTTTATGATTAACCTGAACAAGGCTCTCAGAGTACCAACCTAGGCTCAAATGGTTTTTACATAAATAGTGTTTCCAACTACGTGATTTCTATAGTTGCTCTTTGAATTCAAAATGCAAGAAGTATTGTATATAGAATGTTTAATGTATACCATGACACTATAAGGACAAACCTTAGCATAGGTTTTGTTTGAATAGGAATACTGAAAAATGTGCTTTTTCACAATAAGTTTATGCAAATTATTAGTATCTAGGTTATGTAAAGCCATTTAATCTGCTAATGACATTTGTTTAATGAATAGTCAATGAATTTGTCACATTTTGTTTTATTGGCTGGAAAAATAGTCAAATAAAAAGTTAACTACTTTTCAAATATTTTAAATTGAAGCGTAACAACTACATTAGACCTTAGCGTTTTGTTGAAATTTGTAGCTTTAATTACATTCTTTCATACCATGTAGTTGTTGTTCAAGTGATTATAACCATCCTAGTGTTTGTAATTGATTAACCCTCGAGCTGGCATGCGATTTATGCCACGGCCGAAATTTACGTCACGGAAATTGCAGTTTTTTGCACGAAAATGAAACAAATTTCCCTTAATATAGTATTTATTCGGTTTTGAAATTAATAATCTGTCGATTGATGTGAATTTCAACTATTTGGACGCCTTTGGGAAAACTTAAAGCTCTATGAAAATAACGCATCAGCTGACAACATTGTCATGATGACGCAGTCGCTTATTACCATCTGTTTGCATCTGTTGTTGCTTATTTCGCGCTGTGTTTGGTTAGTTTCGGTGTTTTGGCGTTATAAGTTTTATTTTTTATTGAAATTGAATATAATATAACTTGAAATGTAAGATTTTGGTATGTGATATAACTTGAGTATTTTATAAATTATTTCTTGTATGAAGTTAGAACTGAATGATTCGCTTCGAGTATTCGTGTAGGTTGTACAAAGAATATGTATGCCTAGATGGTAATAAAAACCATTATATGTATTTTTTTTTTTTTTTTACAAGGTACATATATCTCATTCCTTTCCTCATGAAATTGTGCACAATTTGTATATTTTGACAAATTATTTTGAGTTCATTGATTTGTCTTATAATGCAGAGGATATATATATGCATATGAATAAAAAAAAGTCCACTTAGTAAATATAAAAAAAAAAAAAAATTTTATTAAAATTTCATATTTAAAATTTATATAATACTATTCCTTGTTTTTGCTAAAAAAAGATAAATAATATGATATATTTACAAACTTATTTACTATATAAAAATGTGTTATCAAAAATGTTGCGCAACCCATAAAAAACCCTTGCCACCACAGCATAAAAAGACCACCAGCTCGAGGGTTAAAAGTGTCCTTGGGTGTCCAACTTTTTATTAAAATTGGTGCCAAATAAAATATGTATGCCAATATTTTTTATTAAACGAGCTTAGAATATTTGAAGACTTTGTCTTCTATAACTTTTATTTTGCTCTGTTACTCTTTTGCCACTTATTGTTTGACTAGCAGAGTACCCATCCTTCGTACGGGGTTGGCATATAAGTATCAAATGCTTATTGCAGTTATGGGTGAGGACATGGTTTGAGAAAGTTTGGTTCTTTTGTTCCACCACTGCCCTTGAACCATAGAAAAAAGTTAAGGTCTCATTGTGTACCCCAGTTTTTTTGTTGCTAGTTGGTTAAAACTAGTATTTTCCTAAAATCACACTTCGTAACCCTCCCTGTAGCAGCATAACCTAGATACTCGTTAAACATAATGTTATTGATCAGGGCCGGATTTAGCATTTTGGCGCCCCTAGGCCCAAATATTTCTTCCGCCCCCTGTTCTGGTCACAGTTTATTTCCTACAAACCTTTATTAAAAACTAAAAACTATATCATGCCTAAAGGCCTATGTTAATTGTTTGAACACCACTCCTCGTCGAAATTTTATCATTGCAAGTTTTTTTAAGAATTGTCTTGGTTAGCCTTAACAAAATGCCGTCTTAAACACTTTAGGCAATTTTATGCTTTTAGCAAATGCTCACGCTTGTGGGACTGAAACAAAACAATCCAACCCACAGAGCATTCCTGTAAAAAAACATGTCCATTGATTCTAATTTCGGGCCCCAAAACATAAACTTCATAACAAGTACGTGATACCATAGATTAAACATAGGCCTTTAGTAGATTTGTCATCCTTAGGGATTAGCTGAAAACAATTCTTTTTATGTAAGTTATATGTTATTTAAACCTAGTTTGTCCAAAATAAAACGATCTAATCATAAACAATAGGTCGTCCCCTGGTTATATTACAAGAAACTAAAACTCTTACAACGACAACATAGAATAATAGACAATAATAGAAACAAAATTACGTCAAAACTAACTTCCAGTGTGACCAACATATATGAACTAGACATGAAAAACTATATTTAGGATTAAAAATATGATAACAAGTCGACTTGAGTTTATGGTTAATCTATGGTGGTACTGCATTCAGATTATATTTGCAAAGCAATAGTCCGGCCAACCATAATTATCCTCAGGCCTGAGCTGAGGAGAAAATAACATCAAATGGTGCTTTGGAGGGGATTTAATTTTTCTAAAACCTCTTGCAAACTCAGATTTTTTTTCGTTATTGAATTTTAAAGATAACTTATCATATTTGTAATATTAAAAATGTATTATATATTTTAACTTGACCCTGCAGGTTGCTGTAAACTGATCAAAAGATTAGTTAATACATTTTCTTTTTGTGAGGTAAGGGTGGTAACGGTGTCTAACACGCATACGCCCCTAATCACTCCGATCAGTGACGCCAAGCCAGCATAGTAGCAGTGCAAAGAGAACAGTGGCAATACGATGCGTACCGCTCGGGCGCTCGACAACATCCCTACAGCCTACTCCCGTATAACCAATGTTCGTTATCAATGTTGTAACGAAATTGATGCGTAATGTTGAAAAACTGTTTATATTTTCTAACGGTTATTTCTTCTAATGAATTTAAAAATTATAATGCTTTATTGGCAAGAGTTTTTTTTATATCAACTCGCAAAATATGTTAAGCTATGGCTATTTATTTTATTTTTAGATATTAAAAAAATATTTTTCCTCTCGGCCGTGCGCCCTCTGGGAGCTTGCGCCCATAGGCCCGGGCCTATTGGGAAATCCGGCCCTGTTATTGATTTAGATTTAATTGAAAATAAAGTCACACAAATGGAAATTCGCTTAGGCTGCCCGGGTGTTATGGAATTGTAATTGATGTAGAAAGAAGACTTTTGGGTAGTAAATGATTAACTCTAAGGTATATAAGATACTAAATAAATCAATCCCGTCGGTCCTAATTAGTAGCGCCGGTCGCTTAAAAATTTGACTGGCACTACTGCAACCAACGCTTCTATTCTTATTTGCTAGCAGCTATACCCTTGCCTTGCAACGGGTGAGGTTCATTTGTCCAAGTTTGTTAAAAATTACAAAATATTAGAAAAATCAGTTGTCCGAGTTTTTATTTGTCCGAGTTTTGATAAATAACTAATAATAATTAGATACATCAACTGTCCGAGTTTTCATTTGTCCGAGTTTATTAAATTATTTTAAAAAAATATCGAAGTATCAAGTGTCCGAGTTTTCATTTGTCCGAGTTTTTAAATTATTAAAAAAAATATCGAAATATCAACTGTCCGAGTTTTCAACTGTCCGAGAGGGTCAACATCAAATGTGACACAGCGCGCCGAGACTAGCGTGTCTAAGGCGCCTGGTCAGAAGCCGATGTAAACCTCTTCTGCGAAGGAGTCAGGCATTGTGCGAGCCGGGAGAGCCCCTCACGTCGACTTAAGAAAAATTATATTATTTTTATTATAAGACTAATTTTACAACTTTTAATTATACAATTAAACTGTCATCACCTAACACAACCAACCAAACTTGCTGATAATATAAAATACCCCCGCCGCAGCAAACCTGCAGATGAAGCGAATTTCAAATTGTCTGATTACATATTTACTCAAATATTTCCATAAATAAGCGAGTGCTTAGGGAAAGGTAATCAGTGTTTTTTAACCGGACAATGGGAACGGGGGTTTATGGGGTTTTCCCATTTTTGACCATAAAAACATAACATTTTGGAATATATTTCACAACCATTTTGTAGAACTAAAAAAAAAAATAATTTAGTATATTGAAGCATTGTTGTATGCCTAATGGTTACGGAGAAAATATAAAAAAATGCAATTTTAAAATTCCCATGTTATTCTTATGGAGAAGATAAAAACTGTTTTAGTTTTCTTGTTTATGGATATGTGTTGATCAAATTTGGAAATTTTATTTATTTCATCCTATACTTTTGACGTATGGTCAAAAAACACTGTTTACCTTCCCCGTAGCAGCAAACCTAAGCACTCGCTTAATTTTGGAAATATTTTACTAAATATGTAATCAGGCAAGTTGAGATTCGCTTCGTCTGCATATTTGCTGCGGCGGGGGTATTTTATATTATCAGCAAGTTTGGTTGGTTGTGTTAAGTGATGACGGTTTAATTTTATAATTAAAAATTGTAAAATTAGTCTTATAATAAAAATAATATAATTTTTCTTAAGTCAACGTGAGGGGCTCTCGCGGTTCGCACAATGCCCGACTCCTTCACAGAAGAGGTTTACATCGACTTCTGACCAGGCACCTTAGGCCAGGGACACACTTACCGGCAAAACCGCCCCAAAAGTTGAGGGTCAGAACACACTTGTTCCGGCAAAAACTATTTTGCCGAAGCCGGCGAATAAAAATAGAGTGCAATGAACTCTGAATCAGTTTTGCCTTAGACTAGTACAGTTCTAGTACAGTTTAGTCTTAGAAATGGTGTTGTCGAGACCTCAAAAGTTGGCCTTGCTCTGTTTGATCCACCACAGAAGGAAGAGAAAACACCACCGAACTGTTTGGGTGCATCCTATTCTGGAGAACAGACAGCTACATGGAGCTTTTTACACTCTATTTTTACAGTTGAGAAATGAAGAAAATAAGTTTTTAAATTATTTTTGAATGTTTGCCCCCTCATTCGACGAGCTACTATCAAAGATTACAGTGCAAATACAAGGACAAAACATATACATGAGACGCTGGAAAGGCTGGATTCAGTGCGGCACAAATTTGTCGCCAGCTGCTGCTATCCCTCGTTTTGTTTTTGTCTTTGTAAATTTCCAAAGACCTATCACAAAGTTCTGGTTTCTCATGAACCAAACTAATAAGTAAATCCATGTCAACATCTACCATGATGATATACAGATAAACAGACTAAAATGATAAACAGACTAATAATAAAAACTAAATTAACTAAATAGCAAAACAAAACTAAATACACCACTTGGACACTGCATAAAAATCATGAAAAATCACCACCCTCGAGGGTTGAACCATGACTGATGAGTGGGGGGCAGTCGCAGTCCGGCGGTTTCGCCGGTAAGTGTGTCCCTGGCC